GTCAGAAATGGATTACAAAACTGCTATTTTCAATTACTACTTATTTTTGTCCAGCTTTAACATCAGTATCGGTATCGGTTATCGGCTACATGAGTTTTAAAATATCGGCATATCGGATATCGGCCAAAATCCCAATATCGTGCATCCCTATTAAACAATGTGAAACTAAAGCGTTTTCACTTGAGGAGTTCTGATAGGGCATACTGACAGATTTTTTTTTTTCTTAGATGCAAAATGTTTATGTTTATATATGTACATTTTTTTATATTATTACTGCTCTAAGTGGGTTGCTCTGTCAGCTAAAGGCATGTTTTATTCTCTATATTCTCCATATTCTCCGTTTAACGATTATTCGATTACTAAATCAATTAACGGATATTTCAATAATCAATTCATCACAATCAATCCGATTCAGCCCTAGTTTCATGTCTTATCCTGAAAGGTAAGAATGTTTTTTTGTGCACGCTGTTTTATTTCTAAATACTAGGTGGTCACTGGTTAAGCTGGAAAGGATTTGATTATGGGCACCAGCTGACATCTCATCTCCAACTCACTCAGCTTTGCAGTACCTTTTAAATGCTGCCAGATTGTGCTTCCTTTTCATTTTTTTTGCGTATCTTTAACTTTCTCTGACGGTGCATGTGTTTAAATGAATCTCTTTTTATCCCTCTGTGACCTTCACCTGTAACATCACCTGTCACCTCTTGAAATAATACTATCATCCTTACGACACTTAAGGCACCTGCTTTATTTTCTCTACCAATAGTCGGCTCTAGTTGCCAAACGGTTTTCTTCCTTCCCACGACTAGGTTTTTGATTTATGAAGCTAATATGTCGCCCAATTGGTTCATAACAGTCTGGCATGTTATTAACTTCACATTCATTCACCAAACACTGACATACAGCTCCCAAAGTAATGCTTTGTTTAAAGCAAAATCAGAATAAGAAATGACAAATGCACAAAGAGAATCATTAGGAGAACATTTATTAGACTTCCTAATTCAGGAGATTAACGTTGTTTAGCGTGTGTGTGTTATATTTACTGCTTTCTAACAATAGATCCCATCAAGGTTTTGGTATGACTCAGATTTTCCAAATGGGTTGTATTGCTCTATGTAATTAAGATACTTTTTATTGATTTCAGCTTACTATTAACCGGGGGATGAATGCAGAAACCTAGAAATAGCAGATAGACTCATAAATACAACCCAGCTGTATTTGTTACACATTGATCCCAAAATAGCTATCATCTATGGGTCTGTATCATTGCTATAGTTGGTGAAAATGACACACTAGTTCCCTAATGAGGATGATGTCATGTGACTGTATCCAGAGATTTATTATTTTTTGAAGAAGAAGAAGAAGGAGATGAATAATAATCCGTCCGACTTGACGGATGCTGTGTAATTACTATGAAATATGTATTTGCTCAGGATGTGGTCGTGGTGGCAGTTGAAAAATATCACAGTGTGCTTGTAAATCCATGTGTGTTTGAGGGTTTAGTGTTTGTTTGAGTGCTTCATTGATTGTGTGACAGTGTCGGTGAGAAACATATCTCTCCCAGGACAGCTGTATTTTTTACCACAGTGGTGATCTCACCCACAAGGACCTCAGCCTGATGAGTTTAGCCTCTTTTTTTTTCTTTCTTTTTTTTTTTTTAGATTTTTCTGTGTTTGTGAGAAGGAGGAGAACTCTACTTTGTCAGGGCCAGCTGCCTCCCTAGTGGGTCTAAAGTTTGCATGTTTCCCACTGTATGCAGAGCTTGGCGGTTCATCGGAGAACACCAACTGTGTAGCTGAGACATGCGTCAAAGCAGCTCTGATGTCCCACCAATGTCAAGCATTTTGCCGTCAGCATTTGGACCTCGTGTTCTAGTTTCAGTAGATGAAGCTGCGAACAAAGCAGATTATAAAAAGCAAAACAAGAGTCAAAGAGCTGAAGATTCCAAGAAGCGGTGAGGATAGAAAACACAGAAGGACAAGAAAATGCAGGTTTATCATTAAGCAGAAAATGAAGGTGTAAAAGTATGTGGTTGGGGGTTGCAGGTGTGCAAGATTGTTCCTAATCTTACCATCACATCTGTCAATGTTTTTCATGGGATTACCAAAGTGTCACATCAAAGGGTAAAAAAAGACAAATAGTCTAGGAGCAGAAACACATTAAGGGTGAACATTCATATGAAGAACTGCCTGGCTGTGTAAGGGAAGCACACATAGTGACGTACGGCATGTTTCAGTGGCCTATGCAGAGGAAACCTGACTCTTATTATCTGGAAAGGTATGAACTTTCTAACCTGACAACAGCCAGATGCATGTCTCGCTCCACCTAGCTCCACTCACATACATCTGGGAACCCGCCATAGGAATTGCCTTTACTGAAGGCTGGGCCTTATCAAAACTCCTTGCATATGATTGGATAAGCCACTTGTCTGTCATCTTTATTGACGTGCTATTTCAACCACTCACACCGAAGCTAACCCGTGACGCTGTGAGAGGAGGAGCCATTTGGTAGATCAAGCTCTTGCCAAATTCGGTCGGGAGAAGGGCGAAAACATCGTTTCCACCAACAAAAGCCTTCAAAGCCGTTCTCTGATGTTCGTTTAATGAAACAATATCAGATAGATTGGACAACACAGAAGAAATAGCAGCATCAATGCTAACGCTTGCTTCCTCAATGCGAGCTGCCATTGTTGTTGGAATCTCACGGTCGCTTCTCCACTCCAGGACACACCCACCCTGCGTCCTGATTGGACAGACCATAAATTCGGTTGGGGAAATCACTTTCAATGAGCGGGTTCCCAGATGTATGTGAGTGGAGGTGGGCGGAGCGAGACATGCATCTGGCTGTTGTCAGGTTATGAACTTTCCTCTTTGTGTTAGACTATTGGCAGCTGCTAATGGTAACTAGCTTCATCAGTTATTTACAGTTCATTGCATAAAACAATTAATTGGTATAGACTGTATAGATTTCTTTTTTATTATTGTGAATATTTTTAGAATAA